GGTGCGGGGCCGTGCGTCTGTCCGCCAAGCTGTGCGTCTGTCCCCGCAGGCATGCAGAGACGGAGACGGCGCGTGCTAGACACCTCCGTAGCCTACGTGCGGGGAGAGGAGAACCTGGCAGGCTGGCGGCCCCGCAGCGACAGCCTCATCCTCGACCATCAGTGGGAGCTGGAGAAACTCAGCCTCCTGCAAGAAGTGAGAGTCTGGGCTAGAGATGGGCTGAGACGGTGCAATTCTCAGCTCAGCCCCTTGCCCTGTCGGTGCCGGTGGGATCCCCCGCCCCGGGTGTCCCAGCCCTCCCAGTTACGGGAGGAAGCAGGAGCAGGGCTGTGCTGCCGGTGCTCTCCCGTGCATTGCTGCTAGCCAGGTCCCAGTGGGCCCGAAGCTGATGAGCAGATGGGGTTACTGGGCCCTGGGGAGCGCAGTCCCCAAAAGGAGGCCTGCAGGGGGAAGGGGCCACCCCTGAGCCTGGCTGCCTGTGCCCAGGTGGAGAAGACAAGGCACTACCTGCTCCTCCGTGAGAAGCTGGAGACGACCCAGCGCCTGGGCCTGGAGACCCTGTCCCCCTGCTCCAGCGAGGACTCCGAGTCCCGAAGCACCTCCTGTGTCTCTTCCCCGCTCTCTGTCGATGGGGCCCCCGAGGGCCGCACCTCTCCCCCTGAGACCCCTAGCGAGAGGCAGAAGGAGCTGGCTGTGAAGGTACCATCCTGCAGCATCCCCGGCTCATGGGGATGGAGCTGGAAAGGGGCTCCCAGTGGGAGGAGGTCCAAGAGGAGTGGGAGGAGGAGGGCAGAGGAAGGTGCCTCCTGCCCCACCGTCCTCCTCCTCTCTCCGCAGTGCTTGCGCCTGCTGACGCACACCTTCAACAGGGAGTACAGCCACAGCCACGTCTGCATTAGCGCCAGCGAGAGCAAGGTACTGGCGCTGCCTGGGTGCTGCCAGGCTGGCAGGGGCCAGGGGGGATGCATGGCCGGGGGGGCTGGCTGGGCAGGGACCAGGTGGGCACCGTGGCACAAGCAGTCCCTGCTGCGGGGTCTCTGCTCACCCTGGCGTTCCCGGAGCTGGTGGTGGCTCTCGGGATTGCCAGGAGAGGACCTCGGCGGCCGGAGGTCTGGCCTCTCCTTGTGTGAGCAGGCACCTAGTCCTTTGCCTGTGCCCGGCTTTGGGCAGAAACTCGAGTCCCCGCCTCCGCTCCTCCACAGCTGTCCGAAATGTCCGTGACCCTGATGAGAGACCCCTCTATGCCAGCTCTTGGCGTCACCACTCTCACCCCCTCCTCGACCTGCCCGTCGCTGGTGGAAGGACGCTACAACGCCATGGAGGTCAGGTAAGAAGGTGGCCGGGAGATTTGGGTGATTCCCTGCTGTCCCCCAAGCAGGGCAGCTGCACTGCTAGAATGTGGTCCTGGTCAATGGGTGTTCCCCGGCCACTGCCCTTCCTACAGCCTGGCCTCTCCTCCCTCCCCAGACCCCCCCAGGTCTCTTCCAGGGCGGAGAGCCCTGACCTGGAGCCTGTAGTAGAAGGAGAGCAGAAGAAGTCCCCGTCCCGCCGGCCTGAGGAGGAGAAGGAGCCCCAGCGTTTGCTGGTGCCTGACATCCAGGAGATCCGGGTCAGGTAGGAGTGAGCGGCTGGGGCAGCCAGGGAGGGGAGCACTGTGGGGCTGAGGGGGACCGTGCCCTACCATTGCCACCTCCTTGCGGTCTGCGTCCCACCCTGACCTCCGTCCCTTCCGCAGCCCCATCGTCTCCAAAAAGGGCTACTTGCACTTCCTGGAGCCCCACACCAACGGGTGGGTGAAGCGCTTCGTGGTGGTCCGGCGCCCGTACGTCTACATCTACAACTCGGACAAGGACACAGTCGAGAGGGCCATACTCAACCTCTCCAAGGCCCAGGTGGAGTACAGTGAGGACCAGCAGGCCATGCTCAAGGTAGGGCACCGGGAGCCAGCCCCGCTCAGCGCACCCCCCTGGGCCAGGGACTCAGCCCCGGCTCTCCTCTGGCAGACCCCGAACACGTTTGCGGTGTGCACGGAGCACCGGGGCATCCTGCTGCAGGCGAGCAGCGACAAGGACATGCACGACTGGCTCTATGCCTTCAACCCCCTCCTGGCTGGGTCCATAAGGTACTGGGGCAGCTGGGGGAAGGGGTGTGTAGGGACGCTGTTGGTGGGGGGGGCCATGGGCAGCCAAGCATGCTCCCTACCCTGCTCCCAGTGCAGCCCTGCTGCAGCGCCCCCCAGCTAGGTGTGGGGAGCACCTCCTGTGTAGACCTATGTCTGGGCAGGCTCTCAGCCAGAAAAACTTGGATGGTATTAATCCTGATTTTGGCTCCTCCCTGCTTAAATGCTTCAATCTAGGGCCAGATCCTGGCTGGGACAGAGGCGGCGTTGTTGCTGAGGCAACATCCATGCCTCGCAGCAGGGTGGGCCTTCACTGTTCCTGAGACCATCTCATGAAGTTCTTGAAACCGTCTCACAAAGTTCTTGAGACCATCTCAAGGGGCAGGACTAGGGGAATAGGAGTAAATGCACAGGAGTTGGCATGCTCTGGCTAAAGAGACATTAATCCCACATCCTTCCAGCTCTGGCTGGATTCAGGCACCAGCTTAGAGCCAGGACACTGAACCCAGGAGATCTCACCTCTCCTTGTCCGCATCTCTGACACCTTTTGCCCCTTGTTTTCCAAATCAGGTCCAAGCTTTCCAGAAGGAGAACAGCCCAGATGAGAATCTAACCTGAAAAACACCATCCACCTCATCCGTCTGCCAGCAGGATCAAGGTAGCTGATTCTGTCTCAAGACTCCCCATGTTAACGTCTGATCTCTCACACCATCTGCTGCCCCAGCTGTCTGCTCCATGAAAGGATCCGTCTCAATTCACACCTTCACGGGGGAAACTCACTTTGTTCGTAGCTGCAAGAGCCTGGAACCGCCTGGGCAGGATTTCTCGTGCGCGTGCCATCTTCTGCCCGTCCCCCCATGGGTGACCTTCATGTCAAACCACCCGTAACGCTCCAGAAAGGTCCCTGTTTGGAGGGGAGGGAGCAAGGAGGGCTGTTTTGGCTAAGAGCTGGTCTTCGATCTCCAGAGGTGGCAGTGTGGTAGAGCTCAGCAGTGGGAGAGCAGGAGGAGTTGCCTCCACACGAAGGGAAAGGGGTAGTTTAGGTATGGGGATTTCCTAGTTTATTGATGTTTCTGCAAGAGATGGCAGGGTAAGATCAGGTGTCAGTAGCTTAAGATGATATTTATAAAGTATTTATTTCTATTTACATCACAAAAATTCCATAAGTTGGGTCCCGGCCCCCAGATAATGTTTCCCCCCGGCAGGGGAGAGCCTTGGCGGTGGGCCGGGGTCCCGGAGATGCCTTCCCTGGGACATCCCCAGCACGTGTCCAGTGGTGGCGGAGCTCTCACCCTCACTCCCCTCCCTCCCCCAACCCTCTGCTTTGCCCCCCCTGCAGCTTAAACTGCTTCTCCTCCGACCGGTGGCTGGACAGCCTGCCATGTCTTCCCAAAGGAGGCAATTCCACCCACCCCATCTACCTCTGCAGGGGGGGATCCTGCCATCTCGGCTGGCTGGGGCACCCACGTCCACGCGGACGGGTCACCTTGCTTCCGAGGCTGGTCCTGCTGGGGGGGAAAGGAGGGTGCTGGGTACAGCTCTGCCCATCACAGTGTGTGGGGCTGTCCTTCCCAACCAAGAGCAGGCAGGCCACCTCCACTATCCCAGCCTGGGGGCCCCGGGGGGCCTGGCCAAAGGCACTAACCCCCTCTTGGGACAGGACACCAAGGGTCCCGTCCCTGTGGGGAGTGTGCAGATTCAGGTGGCCGCTTCCAGAGCTGGACAGGAAAGTTCCCCAGGAGCCAGGGCTAGGAATGACCATCCCAGTCCATGGGATCCTTGTCACCCTTTCCCCAAAAGGGCTGTCATGTCCCCTTCCCCTCCCAGCAGGACAACTGGCTCAGAGCAGGTCAGAGGGGCAGGGGTAGGGGGTGGTGCCGGGGTGGGGATGGGATTTCTTTTTACTGTTGTAGCTGGCATTTTCTCACTCCTCTTCCCCCACTGCAGAAGTGAGCACCCACCTCCCTCCCGCCCGGCCTCCGTCAGCACGTTAATCCAGGGGGCTTCCCGGGGCGGAGGTGACTTTGCCGAAAAGACCTTCTCCAGCTGTCACCGCTTCCCACCTCCCCCAGCAGCAGCTCTCCCTCTCCTCCTTTTCCCACCTCTCACTGATGGGGGGATGCTTTCATTCGGGGCTCCCCGAACGGCCGGTGGCATCTGGGCACAGCTCCGGGCAGGAAGGCGAGCGTCCTCCTCAGCGCATCTCCCGGGCATCCCCAGCTTCGCTGTCACACCTTTGCGCTGACCTTCCCCCGCACGGCACGGCTGCGCCTTGGCGCTGCCGCACCTCCTCGCGCTGGCTGTGGTGTGTGTGTGCGTGTGTGTGCGCGCGTGTGCGTGTCGGGTGTGGTGCTGTCTTCTCCTCGTTACATGCGTGTCATGGGGGGCACGGACAGGCAGGGACATGGCAGGCAGGCAGAGGCTTGCAGGGACCCCCCCCTTGCTGCACGCCAGGTGCCATTCAGCTTGGGTTTCAGGTCACAGAAAGGGGTTTGGGTCCTTCCTGCACCCCTGCCGGTTCTGCCCAGCCTCGCTGCAGCTCCTTGGGCACCTCGCCCCATTGCTCCGGCCTGGAGCCGTGGCGGGGCTGCTCCTCCCGGCCCTGATCCCAGGCAGGCAGCAGCTTGCCCGCCCAGGACCAGTTCCCCATCAAACTGGGTTTTTTCCCCCCCTGTGATCCATTTTAGAGACCTGGAGGCCAATTCGTGCCCTCTATGGTGCCCGCTCAGGGGCGCGGTGTGGCAGAGCCAGGGCAAAGCAGGGCCCGGGCCGTGAAGTGCGGACTCTCATGCCCTGGGCAAGGACTAGTTGGTACCGTCCCAGATTTCAGCGTAAGGGGCTAGGGGTGGAAACACTGGGTGCCCCAGGGGAGAGGGGAGGCTCTCCCCAGGCGGAGGCAGCTTCTGGTGGAGACAGGACCCGTGTCTGCCAGGGACCAGACCTGGGGTCGCCAGCCCC